ATTGATATCACTTCACAACGCTGTGTTTCAACATGAATGAATATCACTTTCAACAATGCTGTGTTTCAACAGGCGTATGTGTTCTGGCCTTTACTGCTATGATGTGTTGTGCCGTCTGTGGACATGTTGCTCTGGAGAGTCCTTGATGCCGCACTTTCTACTGTTAAGTCTCTAGGTGACTACTCCCCATACGGCATTGCAAACGCGCACATGCAGAAGTTCCTCATCTTTGTTTCTGAACGTTGATTTGCTTGTCACTCGTGCCAAGGACTCTGCTGCTAGTGTGTCAATCGTCGTTTTCCATCCTAGATATATGGGATCACTTTTACACATCCATCCTCTTCACGTTCAGATGCTCGTTCTGGTTGATGTCAACGTTGAGATGGTGCGGACGGTTCGAGAGTTTGCACACGGCCTTGGAGGACTCTTCTCTATTGGGTGGGCCTTTGCTTCTTTGAGACAAGACGCTTGAATGTTCAAACTTGGATGACATCCCCACTGCTTGGATTGAACTTTCGCGAGAATCCTCGGTATTCCAAGTATTTGATCATTTTCGAATACCCTCCTTCTAAGTATGGTGTTTTTTGTGCTGGATTCAGAAGTTGTCAATGAAATCATTGTCAATAAACGCGAACGTGGCCCTTTTTAAACAATGAGCGGGGACCTTGTCGGGACCTATATGACTGCGTTGGGATTCTTTAGTTGGACAGCATCTCATAATGGTGTCTCTATAAATACCGTTTTCGAAGTGGGGTCCCCTGTGACAAAAGAGGGTTATGTTCTGGAGCGTCTTCGCACTGATTACCAGGGTCTTCCTCCCTCTGGTGTCATATCTAAGTTCAATTTCACCTTGGAATTTGCACTCTTTCCCTTCTTGTTCCCCTCTGATAGAGGCGTTTCAAAAGCACCGGCCAATTTTCGCAATATCTCAGACGACGCATGAAGTCTCTGTTCTTGGTGTTCATTTGTACCCCCCTTATCTGCTTCTAATCTATCAGGTTAGCAAAGCAGTTGTCTTTCCGAACACCACTAAGAATGTTGCGTACGACAAGGCCATTCACAAATATTGTCTCGATCATCGTATTGCGTTAGAGGAGGAGGTCATGAAACATGTTTTAAAACACAAGATTCCTTCGTCTATGGCTGGGTCTCCAGCCTTGGCACAAGAAAAACCTATAAGACCTTCTTGCGCATATGGATGCCGGGGGGATGCCACATTTCTTCCTCACATTGACGGCAGACGAGCACTCGCAATCAAGGTGGGCCAAAATGTTCGATCTTGAGGATTTTTTTCCGCCATTCGAGATGATGATGCTTCATGAAACGATTCTTTTGTTGAGTGCATTGTCCACTTTCGTGATCGCCTCACAAAGCTTTTGAAGGATCATGTTATGTGTTTGGAGGGTGGCGTCTTTAGAAAGGTGTTTATCACGTCATTCGGTACGAGATACAAGAGCGCGGAAGCTACCATGCCCATGTTATTCTGTAAGTCGCTCTTAAGGATTATTGATAGGGTCACTGATGAGACTTGTGCTTGCGTGTCTGGTTCTTTCGACCCTTGCATAAAAGCCTTCGAAACTTGTGAGCCCAACACCCCCAACGCCGAGCTCCATCAGTATGTCATTTTCAAGAAGACTCATTGTTGTGCTGAGGGCACTTGCCATTGGAGAGACCATGCAAATACGGCTTTCCGTGGGCTCCCCATCAAGGCCTTTTTTTGGTTTGATGCAAAGACCGCCCGCGCTACGAAGACAGGAAGGTTGTTTCTTACCACCCTGTCGTTCTTGTGCTTTGGGTTGCACATATTCATATGCATAGGATCACCCGCAATGCTTGATCCCATTACCTTCTCAAGTACGCCATGGCCCGGGTGAACTCTCTCGGTCCTTGAACCTTAATCCCCAGTCCGCAAAAACTCTTAGTCTTCACGAAGTCTTTGAAACGCCGTTGCAAGCAGTTTTTGCATTCTGTCTCACCAAGCCTGTCTCCCCTTGTGAAGCTGCAATGTCCATGCTTGAGTTTCCCATCATTGAAAGGAGTGTTTCAGTTACTCATTTTGATTCATCCCCTTCTGCTCGCGCAGCAAGATCGTTCTCCCCGGCCCTTCCAACAAGTCCGCCGTGCTTCATCCCATTGACAAGTACTGCGCCCGGCCTTCGTCTCTTGAATTGACCGCATTATACGATTACTTTCGAAAGTACTGTCTCCATCAAAGTCTCCTCGTGCTCTCGGCCGCGACGCTTTTGATCAATATGTGTACCCCTTGGCCAACTCTTCTTTAGTGCTTTTCACCGATTTCCATCCTTCTCATCCGATAGAAGCATACTTTGTCATGCAACGTCCTCCTTCAGAAGTACCCTTTCCGTTTCAAAGCAGAGTTGCTCACCCCCCATAATCTCACCAAATCCTACCTCTACGAGTGCCAGCTTTGCGGCTCGATCTCGAGTTTAGAGAACGCAGAGGCCCATTTGGATGCATATGCCACCAGAAACCTGATTGCTGAGGGGCAGAGCACAGACAGCAGTTGGTGAACAAGATCCTTCAGAAGTGCCCCCTCAATGCTGGCACATTTTCTTTCATGCAGCGGGCCCCCCCGCACGACCTTGCATTTCTGCCAGGCGCTGAGCCCATAGCTGATTGTCTTTATGGGGTTGCTCCTGACGCCCTTGAGTTGGTCAAACTCAATGTCGACCCGCAGGCGGTTGTTGACCCCATCATTGCAGCGTCTTGTGGCTTGCACATCGTTTCGGGTGGCTTTGGCAGCAGAAATCCTATGTCACTAAGAATCTGAACTCCTATTTCAGTTTGAAAGAGCGACGTGTTGGGCTATGTGCAACCACGCGAGCTGCTAGTGTTCGCCTTGGCCCATCGGCAACGACGGTGCACGGTCAGTTCTCCATCTCCTTTCAGCACTCTGCATATTTTAAGCCACTCTTCCCGATACGACGGCTCACAACAACCTGTTGCAAATCAGATCCATTTGATTGACGAGTTCTTGATGATGGATGCTCGCATGCTCGACCTCATAAATTTCATACGGGGCCCGGTCACCGGTTTGAGGATCCCACTTGACAGGATTTCTGATTGTCCTCTTTGAGCATCACGCCTAGCTACCCGCTGTGTCGCCACAAGGTTGATCAGGACAAGGTTTGCGGCCTTTGCCACATTGGCAAGGCAATGGCTTAGGTACATGACCATCCTCACAGGCTTCGAATTTCATTGCATCATGTTGATATGCCCTTTGTTCGCTTTCTGGACGCTATAAGGGAGAGGAGACCCACTCAGGAGGAGATTGATGCTTCATTGTCTGGATGTTACATTTCAGAGTCGGAGATTCTTCAGAAAGTCGGTGCTAACACAACCATCCTCTGTAGCCACCGATCTCGGGTCGCCTACTACAACACCCCGTGTTTTTACTTCTCTTTCCTGACTTGGGAGCTTTTAAAACTGTCTCTTGTGCGTCGTTTGCAGAGGGCGTCCCTGAGTTGCAGCTTGGGCAGAAAATCCCGACTTTGACTTGTTGCAGACTGTCGCTTTAGGGACTAAGGTCATCGTCACTCAGAACATCGACTTGTCAATTGGGGCTGCCAACTGGGCTATTGAGGAGGTCGGGCATTGCAGATGTACAAGACGGGCTCCTGTCTAGATGCTGTTAGGGTCTCTTTGACAGGGACAGGGAAGCTTGTTGAAGTTTGGCGCTCTCTCTTCGAGAACATCTATCATTGCGGTGCAAAGTTCTTCGTTCCACTTTTTCTCTCGCACTAGCATATGCCATGACAGGTCATAACAGCGAGGGCGCCACTCTTCGCGACAACGTCGTCATCTGTGTCAAAGACGCCTTCTGCTCTAGTATGCTTTACGTCACCTTGCTTTCCCGAGTCCGGTCACACGCCAAGCTTTTTATTGTCGGCGGACTGACCCCAGACATGTTCTCCCCTATAAGGCTCCCATATTTTAATTTCGACCGACAGACCATCCGCCCTCCTCTGTATCCAGAGATCGTGACAATGGCAGCTCTTGCACCTTTGATCAAGCTCGCTAAGCTGGCGGCCCTTGCGGCAGAAACGAGGGCCAAAATCCCCTCCAAAGGGCATGACGCAAAGCGTGGCAAAATCGCCATTGAGCCGCGCCGCGTCATCAAGTCCGACGAGAAACAGAGGAAGTTCATGAAGGTGCTGGACATCCTCGAATATGAGGAGGAGTCTGGAGCGTAAGCAGGCATGGAAGCCAAGATCAAGGCGGGCAAGGACTGGCGAGAGCGCTTGCCTGTTGAAGCCCTCAAAATTTGCTGCGTTGCATGCTTCACAGGCAACCTAGGGTGGATTAGGACCGTGTCGATCCGGTCTCGATATCGTGTACGAATTCACTCGACGGCGTCACCCGTCGGGACAAAATTCGAACTCCCGACTAACGGTTGTACTCGATAGAATTTTGGAACCGTACTCCGATTCATGAATCGAAGTTTTCTGACATATCGCGCAACGGTCAAATTCCGAGATTATCGGCGAAACCGTACCGACGGCCTAACGCCGAGTATGCGCAACCGTAAATTTTGAATCTTGTGGCTTGAGTCGGAACTTCCGACTTGGACCACTGGCTTGTATCGCGGTACCTAGGCCCATAGAATAGTGTGCAGGAGTGAACATGAAGTGTAGGAGAAAGCTCCTCAAAAAGTTCAACAATGGTTGCCGACTTTGCGCTCTATATGCAGCTTATAGCGATTTGT